ATACGCGACATGACGGTGGAGCTTGTCGTAGTGCCTCTTCTGGACCGCCTGTGCCTGCTCCAGGCGATAGCGGATGTCCGCCAGGAACTCGTCACGCTCCTCCATGTTCCTGGCGACGGCGGCCACCCGTGTGTCCCCCGGTTCATAAGACCGGATGGTTGGAGGGTCACGGCCGTAGACGACACGGAACGGCGTGTCCCGCAGCGAGGACTGGTAGGCGGTGTTGTAGACATACTCCGCCCATGGCAACCAGCGCAGCCAATGTCGAGGGCGATCGTCGGTGAGGCAGCGCAGGTACATGACGATGACGCGGTTGGCAGCTTCTGACTGGCCGTCGGACTGAGGGTGGAAAGTCAAGGTCATGTGGACTTTGGCGCCCATCAGGCGCATGAGCTCTCACCAGAACGTCGAGGTGAAGACCGGATTGTGGTCAGACACCATGGATTGGGGAACGCCGTGAAGCCGCACGATGTCGGTGAAGAAGGCTTGCGCGACGAACTCGGCGGAGTACGGGTGCGCCAGGGGAATAAAGTGGCAGAACTTGCTGAACCTGTCCACCACCGTCAAGATGGCGGACTTGCCACGGACGCGCGGCAATGCCTCCACGAAGTCGAGCGCGATGTCCATCCAGATACCTTGGGGAACTGGCAGGGGAAGTAGCAGTCCTGCCGGGTGGAGGTGCTCCGATTTGTACCTCTGACATGTCACGCATGAGCGCACAAGGTCCTGCACCAGCTGTCGCATGTTAGGAAAATGAAAGTCACGTCGGAGGCGATGTAGTGTGCGCTGGACCCCTTCATGCCCGTCCTCGTGCACGGCCACCATGATCTCCTGGACGAGCGGGGACGCCGGGGGAATGTAGAGGCGCCACCGAATCGACCATGCCGCCGACGAAGCGTCCATGGTGCGCCATGAGCTCGCACGGCTTCGCCTCGTATGGCGATGAGGGCGCGTGACAAAGTCGAAACGCGGGACGGAGATGGCGACAAGGACCCCCTCGTCCGTGTCGCGGCGAGACAAGGCGTCCGCCACCATGTTCGCCATGCCCGGTTTGTAATCGACGAAGAAGTCGAAGCCCAACAGCTTCCCCACCCGGTGGTGCTGGGGAATCGTGGCGAGACGCTGATCCAACAGTACTTGAGGTCAGAATGATCCGTCTTTGACGAGGAATCGGCGGCGAGGTACGGCCGCCAAGATCTTGTATGGCGGGATTTAGAGCCGATGAGCTCCCGCCATAGCGGCGGCGAGGGAGCGATGGCGTGGCGCGACGGGCGGCCAAGAACGCAATTGGGTGCGCGTCTGGATGAGCACTCGCGCCAACTCTGGTCGGCGAAACGCGTCGCATTCCACGACGAAGTCCTTGGCGAAGTCCGCATCGCCAGATCGGGATCGAGGTGACCGCCGCTTTAAGCCCGGCCGAAGGCGGCAACATGTCGGTCCAGGAGAAGCCTTCCTTCTTGAGCAGGGCGGTCAGCGGTGCGGCGACGGAGCCGAAATTGTGGACGAATTTGCGGTAGTACCCGGCCAAGCCGAGGAAACCGCGGACTGCCCGCGTCGATCGTGGCACCGGCCAGTCATGGATGGCCTGCACCTTGGCCGGATCCATGGCGACGCCCGCCTCGGAGATGACGTGACCGAGATACGAGACGGAGGCGACGCCGAAGGCGCACTTCGCCCTTTTGACGAAGAGGTGGTGCTGGCGCAGCGTGGAGAGGACGGCGCGGAGGTGGCGAAGGTGGTCGGCCCATGTCTTGCTGTATATCAAAATGTCGTCAAAGAAGACAAGGACAAACCGACGGAGGAAGGGTCGCAAGACGTCGTTCATGAGCGCCTGGAATGTCGCTGGGGCGTTGCACAGCCCGAACGGCATCACCAAGAACTCGTAGAGGCCCTCGTGTGTACGGAACGCCGTCTTGTGGACATCGCCCGGCCGCATGCGAACTTGGTGGTACCCGGAGCGAAGGTCCAGTTTGGAGAAGAATCGGGCGACGTGGAGTTCGTCGAGCAGTTCGTCCACTATAGGAATGGGGAACGCGTCCTTGACGGTGAGGGCGTTCAGGGCGCGGTAGTCGACGCAGAAACGCCAAGAGCCCTCCGCCTTCCTGACGAGGAGGACCGGCGAAGAAAACGCCGACGCGCTGCTGCGGATGATGCCCTGCTCCAACATGGCGGCGCATTGCCGCTCAATTGCCCTTGGGGGCGCAGGTACCGGTATGGTAGGACCGCCACCGGCCGCACCCGCGCTTGAGGATGATCTTGGTCGCGGGCGCGCGGGAGGTGGGAGCCCACGGGGCTCGGCCAAGACGCCCCCGGGATGCCAAGCCGATTCGTCCGGAGGCACTTCGGCTGGCGATCGTGGGCGCGGACACTGGCGCTTGGCCGTCGCCGCCACGCCTGGCTCAAAGACACTTGCAGCGCGCCCCGATCTTTGAAAGACATCTTCCGCAAAAGTCCCGAGCACCGGTCCCAAGGTCGCTAGCCACTGCGTGCCGAGGACCAGGTCGTACCCGGCAAGTGGCATCACGAAGAGATCAACGCGAACGTGTCGCCGATGGTGAGCGATGATCGCCAATGACACCGTGGCGGAGAGACGCGCGCTTATTCGCCACGGCCGCCGTGAGGCGTGGCGATCTTTGCAGAGGCGGCCGGTACGGAGGGCCGCGTCCTCGCTATGAAGTTGTGCGTGGATCCCGAGTCGAGGAGCGCGGTGAAGACGGAGGCGCCCACGGCCACCGGATCTTCGCATGGTGTCGCCGACGGACACCCAGCGATCGCGTTGAGGGAGAAGTCGCGGGTCTCTCCCGGTGGCGTCCTCATCGCCAGCCGCCCCGTCGTCGCCGTGTCGTCCTCGATGACGCTGCCGAGGAGGAAACGATCGTTCTGCGAACCGACAGTGCCGCGACCAACTTTTCATCGCAGCTTGTAGCAGAGGCCGAGGCGATAACGCTCTTCTGTTCGCTTTGAGTCGGCGCCGAAACCGGCCGACCCTCCACAAAGATGATCGTGGCCGTGCGCGTTTGTCCGCTATGTTCGCCGGGCGCCGGAGGGCGAAGTCGCGCGCATGGCCGGCGCAGAGCGCGGCCGATCGCTGGGGGCGCGGCGGCGGGCGCGACGAATCGCTTCGCAATTCGATCTTGCGGCGAGGCTCATAGCCGCCACCAATGACGGGGTTGTGGATGTCCACATCATGGTGAGTGATGGAAGGAGGCCGGCCATGAATAATTTGGACGCTACCGTGCCTCGTCCCAGCGGCCCGCGAGAAGCGTGGCTCGAACCGGTCTGTACTCTTCCACGGTACCGATTCGGTGGCAAGCCGCCAACTCGCCGAGGGGTTGGATCGGAGGGAGGACCAAAGCGCAGTGGAGTAGCTCCGTGAACTGGCGCCAGGAAGGAGTACCCTCGTCCTGCTGGACTTGGTAGTACCACAGCTGAGCGCCGTCCTCAAGGTTGTACGACGCCATCCAGACTTTCTCCTCCATGATCCGCTGTTGATGAAAATAAGATTTACAGCGATTGATAAAGATCAGGGGATCCGACTTGCCATCGAAGCGCGGGAAGTCGAGCTTTTGAAACGCGCGCGGCCGGTCTGGTGGTGCTCTCCCGACCCGGAGTGTGCGGAGTGTGATGATCCACCGGCGGCATACGCTGGCGCCCAAGCGCCGGATGGCTCGGGCGTTAGCCTCCACGGACGTCTGGAGGGGTCCGGATGGACGCGACCACTGAGTCAATGTCGCCGCAAAAGCGGCGTTAGCACGTGGTTGACAGATGTTGTCGCCCATGGCGCCGACGCGAGGGACGACAGCGCTTGGCCGAGGATGGTGCGCTTGCCGGGTGTTGGCGAAGAGAGCAGATGAACTGGATCGCCTAGACCGTGTGATACCCGAGTTGTCAAGGGCGCCGAGGGTAGGGTAAGCGCACCCGGCCACGTAGTTCGTGGTCGTGATCCGTGTTGGGGCGAGGTTTTACCCTCGGCTGCCTGCTTACTGAGAGGGAAGAAGGAGAAGTAATTGGTCTTGCTTCCTCCCAAAATGATGGATTACAAGGACTCTTTATAGGCTATAGCCTTAACAGACTCTAACAAATCACTCCTAAATTAGAGGCCTTCTTTCCTTTATTCTAGCCATTCCCTTGATTGGCTTCCCTTTATTCTAGCCACTTCCTAAACCGACCCTACTGTTTGTGCTCGCCATGGATGACATGCTGTGGCAGCGTCATGTCTCAAGTGTTGCTACACGCCTGGCATCCCGGGCCCTTCTATTCCTGGCATATGTGCGTCCCCACATGACAATTCCAATTACTACATATATTCACACCCGGGTTCAGACCTAAATCTTAAAAGTAGTGGGCTTCATTTACACAAGTTAAAGTAGTGGCTACATATACTCAAAGTATTTGAAAAAAAAAAGAACTTTCAGGTCTGGCATTGTGCTACTGATTGAGCCCATGTAATAAATCATCTGTCCCCTTCCCTTGTTTCCAAACATTGTTTAATTCTGTTGTTAGAGTCCTGAGTAATCTGTTACACTTTGGAACAACTTTTGCAAAGATTCTATTTCACTCCGAATAAAGTTTGCACTACCCTATAGGCTACAGTGATTCTTTTCTCCAGAAGATCTCAATAAACTTAATTATTCCGGTAGCTTAACTCATGCTGTGTAAAGGTCAACTGATCGTCACTCTAGGACTCTTCATTGGCTCAACAGTGCTTAACTACAAACTTCAGACACTCTACAAGCTGTTATGCTTACCAATATGACATGCATTTCATGAGTTTATGTCCACGATAGTAGTTGTTATATTTATTACTTGTTAGAATTTAGGACTAATGTTCAATGTCCTGTTCAAAATGCCAATTGGGACAAATGATTGCAAGCTTGCAACCTCATAACGAAAAAGAAAGTTCAGCAGATCATTGGAAGAGAAGGAAAAACAGGTTCATATAGTTTATGTGCTAGTAAACCCAAATTATCAGTGAAAGATGGTCTACAGAAATACTGTACCTGGCAACACCCTGACATGCTTGCTAAAGACAAAAGGCATAGTGTCTGAGAATTGTAGCTTTCAGATGAGAGTTCCTTAGCGTTAAGCTTTGGGGGGCACCCCAAAGCAGTTGGAATCATCAGAATCCCATCATCCTGTGGATTAGCACATCATCAGAAAATAAGGCATTAGTACTACACTATTAAATACTTAGTAAGATGACAACAGCACATTCAGTGGTACCATTTTTCTATATATATACAGAAAAACGATGGATCATAGAACACAAACAGTATTGGCAAAAGTGCATGAGAAAGGAAAAAACAATCCATTACAAAGATCAAGCAGGAAAAAAATTACAAAGGATTCTTTTTCCACAAAAAGTAAACTCAGTTGTTGCACACACTAGGAGACATTACAGTATTACACTTAGCTGAAACATCACACCAAGAAAATTTCACCAAAAGTACTTTCTACAATGTTCCTTCAAGTGGTTAATTGTACATTCTTATTAGTAAGAAAAAAACATGGAATGTATCAGATTCAACTGTGAAGGGATAACAAAGAACAGAATTGTTCTCAAACAAAAACATTGTAGAATTTGATCACACAGTGTTTCTGATAAACCATTAAAGCTGGGGGGGGGCAATGAAAATAACTTGTCAGGCCAAATTTGCCATTTATACACATGTGAAACATATGATACAAAGTTTCCAATGGCATATGCAAAAACCTATAAAACAGGTTTTGTTCCCTATGGTGGTAGTCCAGAAATATCATCCATGCCAAGGTTTTCAAATGATACCTATCCAGTAAAACTACCAGTAACGATCATAAAACTGTGCTTGCTAAGCAATAAAAAACATTTAGTAATATTGTTAGCAACCGCTATCATGAGCTCGCGACTAAACAAATAAACAATAGTTCATTCTGAAATCAATGTCCCAGTACCTTAAGAAGTTCACTTAGAGCAGAGCGTGCTTCTTTTCTCACATCTTGGCAGCCATCAATATCTGAATCACCATCCTCAGACAAATCATTGACTATGCGAGCATCCACAGCAGGCTTAACTGAGGTTATCCACTCCATATGCTGATCTTTGAATTCCCGCCTGGATCCAATTCGTGAATTAACATTATTACACCAAATGATGGCAAATTGCTAAATAAAGGATGACAAATACAAAGAGCTAACCATTACAACACACAACTGACAAGTTGAATTACAATCAAGTAATAATAGATAGGGCATAACAAATTAACAATAGATGTGGTGGGTGCATGGACAAAATTTGCAATCATTTTGGACAACTAAAGCATTTGCAATCATACACCACAGAATTTGCAACTACACTCTGCAGGTAAAAAATCCTAACTTACGGCCCCTTCAGAAGAAGGGGAATGCTCTACAACTTTTTCTATTTTAATTAAAATTTCAACTAAACACCTAATTATTTGGATCCTAAAACAATCTTTCCAAACAGGTCCTGAGAGCTATGTGTCAAAAACCTATGAACAGGCAAACAGTTCAACTAAAGTTGCTAGAGTACTGGAAGTCATAGATTGAATAGTACAAATAATATTCCACATCCAACCATCACTCCTTATTTCTTTAGCAGCAACAGTATAACTGTTAGGAAGACACATACTTGTGAAGTGATCTCATGGCATTACAAAGTGCTAACAACAGACGGAACTTTGAATCACCATTCTTATGCCCATTTGAATAGTTACTCAGGCCGGATATTCTTGAACTCAAATAATTTTCGAGATTCACATGACGGACTTGTCCTAATAAAATAAACAAGAAATCATTCCCATTAGGAAGTTAACTGCCAGAAAAGAATCCAGAAAGTTTTAAAATAATGAAGGAAATCACAAAGTAAACACATACTTCCAAAGAGCTTCTCCACAGATTTTGTCACCACCTGAGTAAGTCTCCTAGCAGGTATCTTCGAAAGTTCAAAGCAATCATCTGCTATGTAAAAATTTCTAGGTTGGCGAATACCAGCATAAGGAAGTCTGAGAAGAAGATGCCCAACACGATGCAACACACTTGGATCCCTTGCAAACCAACCTGTAACAGAAGAAATAAAATATTGGGCCATGCCGAGTTCAATAAGATTGGATTCAGAGCACCTTCTGAAAAAAGTTACACCAGGAGAAATACTTCCAGCAAATACCTATAGTGTCGAGGCTAGGCGCAACAGGAATGACACCACTGCTGGAAACCACAGCATGTGAAGGCCTGAATGCCAAGACACCACAATAAGCACCTGGTACCCTTACACCTCCAATCGAGTCAATACCTGCCGAACCACATTTTCTGTAGCATTAATTAAATGAAAAAAACGCTGTATTATTCTCGGTCTCCTGTAACAATTTATATTTTTTCTGTTAACTCACTGTTCTGTGCGTTTTTTCATAAACATTAGAACTATTATATAAAAAAAATCAAAGCTAGTATGCAAACACCTCTTACCAACCAGTATAGTATTTATCAGCAGGTTAACAACAGTCTTTGGTTCCCTGGTAGGATCTATATATATATATATATATATATATATTACTTCTATACATCATAATTGCACAATCTGACTGAATAATTACCATTAGCAAAGACACAGCATAAACAACGGACATCATCTCAATGCATATAGAGCAAATCAAATATTCAAAATGTGATAGCATAACACCAGGCAATGAAAGGAAAAGAAGGAAATGGATGTGACGCATGCACGCATGGATACTGACGGTTCTTTTTTCTTTTTTCTCATACAATTTATTCCATTCTTTCAAAATTTCGTCCAGTTACAAGATTATAAAGAAACTGTCAGACTGTGGAACAATTGGGAGCACATAAATACTGAAGAGTCAACCCTGAAAGAAAGTTAGCAGAGAAGATACTGAAGACCTTTTTGAAAACAAGTTTTTAAAGACCGTCTTTGGGGAACAAACTTAACAACCCTTGAATGCCAAAATCTTTGCATGTGTGACAGCTGACGGTGGTATGCAATGTGAGAGTGAAATCTATCATGCTCTTTCTTAGATGGCAGCAGAAAGAAGTCAAACAAGGCTTTCAAAACTGAAAGTACTGCAGACCTTTACACAAAAGCGTAAGGTTTTGGGTGAACTGGTTGGTGCACCAAACTCAATATTGACCAAGAGCCAAAAGTCAAGTTTGAAACTTGTCTTCGACAATATTAAAAAAATGCTACCCATGCCATAGGCCTCTGGAGTCTAGATATGTGAGGAGCGTCAAAGTACACTTGTTTGGGCATATAGATGAAGGAACTGAATGTAATGTTAGGATCAGGGATCAGTGTGTTATTCAGAAGCAGTTCTATGGTAATAAGAGAAAGACACCCTAAGTAGACCAAATAAGAGAGCTGCAGATAAGCACATATGCAGTATAATTCAGAGCTGCAGCACAATAGTTGACAGCTACCAACTCTATATAAAAGCCATTTTTTACAAGAACTGAATCATAAGAAAAGAATATTTGCACATATCAAGAGATATGTAATGGTTCCAACTCTAACCTAAACATTTGAAAAGAAATCTCACTGTTATATCAAAACTTAATGATCCTTTCTTATATTACACTTTACAAATGGTTAGTAGGATTAAGCCCTCTTTTGCAACATATTGTGTGAACAGTGTACCAAAAGCACAAATTCTCATTAAAGGAAAACATTAAAGGGGGAAATATCAAAAACATATGCAAGCATTCTTCAAGATCCAAAGCATTTTTTTTATTTTACTATGAGTTGCATGCAAACTGAAACTATTTTTCTTTCTTTCTTGGAGCTTAGAGATGGTTCAGTTGGGTACCCACTGCTCGTAAAGTCATAACACATGTGATATTAAGATAACTAAGAAAGCTTCAGTCCAATAATAACCAATGCCTCTTGAATAAACAAAGCTTGTAACATGCACAAGCTGTCCAGAAATTCTACAAATATTTATTAAAAATTGATTAGCTCACCCAGGGCAAAATCTACCATGCCACCAGCAACTGCAACAGCTGATCCGCTTGAACATCCTCCTGGTACTCGATCTGGAGCGGCAGGATTTGTTGGTGTATCAAAATATTTATTCTCACCGTGGATACTGAAAGGATAATGTGCATTAAGTCAAACACACAGAATACAGCTAAAAAATATATCCTAGTAAATGCGACAAGCTTTTGTTGTCATTGTACATATGCACACAAAAAATAGAACCAGCAAGAGATAAGGAGAAATCAGCTCTACAAAAGAAATGTCAAGGAAAAAGATTTTACCTGTATGCCATCTCATCGATAACAGTTTTCCCAACACAAATAGCACCACCATCAACAAGAGCTGAAACCACTGGAGATGTTTGCACTTCTGCATCATGTGTCTTTGCCCATTCAAGGCTGCCAAAACTTGTAATATAATCATTGACATGCAATCTGCAAATCATCAAAGCACATATTTGTTCTCAAGGGTAAATAATGCAAGATGACAGGAAGCACCATTGCAGATGTACTACTGATCTACCGGTTGTCAGTTCTAGAAATAATGACATGTAACTATTTCATGCAACACTGGAAAGAATAAATTTGACCCCCAGATAGGGCAAGCATTTATGTTAAATTTTCTTTCTCATGATTTGTGTGCAACAATTATCAAATATTTTATCAACACCTACAGATGTAGTGTGTATCACAAAACAGCAGCAACCTTTAATGCCCGCCCCCCCCCCCCCACCCCTCCAAAAAAAAAAAAAACATGAATGCTTTCAGAGAGTAGTGAGGGCAAATCTACATTCTATATCTATAGATTGGCATAGGTATTAAATATTATTTTTTGGTAGGGTAATAAAGTTCAAGAAATTTATAGCTGCTTCTTAAATACACGAGTAGAAGCAATATTACCCTTGGTTCAGATACTAACTCACTGGGCGGTTGTCACTACATAACCAAGAGGCCAAAAGTAGTATGACTGTATGAGGAATGACTAATTATATTATACCTTAAAACTAGTTTAGATTTTAGAATACCTTATTTCAAGCAATGGCTTTATGACAGGTAGCATTTATAGAACATACTGCTGCAGATACAATGAGATGGTTGGCATGCAAAGTATCATGTTGAAACTGGTAGAACAATATTCTTATGTCTCAAAGTTCTCAACGCAAACCACTTTGACAATTCTTTAAACGAAGGTAAAGCCCTGTCTAATTTTATGGCAGGTAACTGCAAATCCCATCATCAGGTAAAACTCTGTTCCATCAGCGTTGCTAGCGCCAGGATGCCATGGCCAGATCTAGCACTAGGACGCAGCATCCGCCATCCATCTGTCCTATCCCTTTGATCCACAGTTCATTTAATTTATTCCACGAGCGATAGCATATCTACTTCTAATTAATCCAAGTACAATGGGACTGTCATCATTCATCCCTTTGCCTCCACATCTGCCTACCTCTTGTACCATCACTGTTGCTCTAGTGCTGAATTCCAGGGCTGGGTTAAAAAAAACACCCCTCACCCCTGCTGTTACAGTGACGCAGCTGCAGAGATATAAGTGACCTGCAGCCGCATCCTGGTTGCTCCTGGACAGATGCCCTGTGTGGACGGGCCTTCTGGGTTTTTTCTCGGTCCTGCAGCAAGAAAATCTCTTCTTCGCTTAATACCTGTGTGGTCTTTCCTCCAAGGGCTGAGTTTTTAACATCCAAGAGAACCCATTGCAACAAATCATTTAAGTTATTGAAACACTCCATGAAAAATAACGAAACAATGCCGCAGCAAGTGCTCCATGGAGGTTATGTTGGCCAGGGCGCTGCTGCCGTGCACGGCACCAAGGCTTGTGTCGGCGTTGCTCTTGACGATCACAATCTCCTCCAGGCATGCTCAGGTACGCCACCTGCTCCTCTACCTTCCCCTTCCCCTTGACCTCCTCCTTGACCTACGAGGGAGCAGGAGCAGCCGAGCGGGACGTGGCCAGCAACCATGGCAGCCAACTCCTCCATGTTAGAGTGGCGGTGGCATTGATAGGGGGACATGGATGCTGCCGTTTGGTTCCTGCCAGATCTGGTCTCTGGTATCTCGGATTTGGCATGAACAGCACTAGGTTGTTGTTTGGAGAGATGAGGTGTGAGGAGTGCACGGGAGTGGATAGAAGCAAATGGGGTATTGGAGAGGGATGAAGCATGACGAGCAGGGGGTCAATGAAAAACGAGTGGTGGAGGTTTGATGGTGGAAACCATGTGTTTTAATTAATTGGAGAAGTGGGCCTACGCCGAAGGAGTTTCCAATGCGTCGGACACACGATGAGGAGCATTTGTGCTGTTCCATTCATGTTCCTTTGCAGCCTTCATTTTGGTATCAGGAATCATGCATAAAGCTGTCTGATGTGAGGCAATTTATCGGTTCCAATAGCATATCCACGTTTGCTTGGCAAAAATAGCTCTGTCATTCATGCTCCTTTGTTGATCCTTTTTGGCTCAGGTAAGTCAAGCACGAATTTGTCTAGTGTGAGGAAATTTACTGTCAATTGACAGAACGTATCCACTTTTACAACGTAACTAAAGAAAACACACAATCATGTTATGCTGCAATAGGTAAGAGCAAAAGTGTGCTATACTTTGGCATGATGGGCATCCAATGCACCATGTCCAATGAATTTGTATCGCCCTAGCTCAGTGATACCAGCCAAAAATTCCACCACTCACAACATCATAAGTGATACGGATAACAAGCTAGAATTATCCGATCAAATTACTAATCATGAAGCTCTAAAAAGCCTTCCACCGATCCAAATCCGACGCTAAAGCATAGAATCAACCAAACACGAGGGTCAGGGGTCGCTGGAACTTACGCGTCAGCGATGGCGAAGCAGAGTCCAGTGAGCGGGTGGGGCGCTTGCGGTGGCGGAGGCTGGAGCGGCGGGAGGAGCTCGAGGCGAGAGATGAAGGCGCCGTGGTCGGGGCGCGCAGGGCGCCTCAGTCGCCGCGCCGCCAGGAAGATGCCCGCGATGCCGAGGCCAAACAGTACCCAGAGGTTAGCGGCGGCCCCTGAGGACGCCATGGACGAGGATAGCGGGCTCGGGCTCGTCTACTCCGCGCGGGCAAGGGGAAATTCGAGGGCTAGGGTTTAAGCACGGCGCCCGGGGGTTTTGAGGCGAGCGTACGGGCGCAGAGGAGGACGATGGACGGCGAGGGCTGGAAGCGGAAGGCGAGGCGGCGTGAGAAGAGGCCGCGTGGTGGATGGATAATACCGCGGGCTTCTTGCAGACCTAAAACACTGAGAAGATACTGCGCCGAAGAAAACAATTTAAGGGAAAGACAGCTTGTTGAGCTAGTTTGATGACTTATTTTAAAATTGTTTTAATTATTACTCCATCTATCCCAAATTATAAGTCATTTAAACTTTCTTGAAAAATCAAAATATTTTAAATTTAATCAAATTTAAATAATAAAATAATAGCATTTATGATACCAAATAAATAACCTAAGATTCTTCATTATCTATATTTTTATAGTATACACATTTAATGTCATAAATCTTTATAATTCTTTATATAACTTTGGTCAAACTTAAAATGCTAAAGTTGACTTTTAATTTGGAACAGTTGGAGTCAACAAAATATTTTCTACAACTTACGCGCCAACAAATTATTTAAAACCAAACACATATTAGTTGATTTTAAATAATTTGTAACTTTAACTCGGTTTGTTAAGCTTGGTTTAAAATTGTGCATCAAACAACGCATGAAATTATAATAAAGTACATGTGTGATGTATGTTTTGAGTGTAAAGCTTTACTCGTGATGACAGCTTTACTGGTCAGCCCCTAAGTTTCAAGACTAGGTTCCAGTCAACAAAGTTCTCACCACAGAAAAAAAAACATCAAAAAGAGAAAGTAGTGAATTTAAAATCTGTTTAAAATATTTTGTGAGATTTTTAATCGCAACAACATCAAATAAAATTTGTTTTAAATATTTTTGTGATGACGAAATTTTTGTGTAATTCTATAAGCACGCACATGCACATTGCACAACATACTTTTATAGCACCTTCTAGAAATTGAACATATCGATCATGAGATTGACTAACTCACCACACCTGCTTTGCCAGCTTGTAGACATTCGTTGAGAGAATAGTGCAATTAAACACTAAATGATAAATTTAGTAAAATGCAAGCATTTGTACCAAGTAAAGAACTTAACTCATTCAATCATAAGAAACATAACTACCACAATGCTCGGTTCACTACTAGCATAAAGTTGAATGCAAAATTGCAAATTGCCGAATGTTCCAGTAATGAAGCCTCGTTTTTTTTTTCTTGTCCACGTGAAAATGAGAAGAATACTTAAAATGTTATTTTCTATTTAAATCTAGCCGGAATTAGTTTTGCTTCGACATTGATTACCTCAGCTAACTTCTTTTACTTGCACCAATAGTTCACAAGCGTGTTAATCAAGTTTTCATATTCATCATTACAGTACGGTGAGGCCATATGAAGTGAACCTATCCGTCATCTGCATTTGCCGCGCGCGGACCAATGCCCTCAGGCTGTTCCTTCAAATTTGCAGAAAATTCTAGTACTATTGATAGCTAAATCCGAGGACCACTGGCATGATGGACTAGAGCTCCGGAGAGTGGAGTATAGAGCTGCTGAAATATATGCAGCATGGCATCCTCATCAAAACACAGTACTAAATCGATGGCTCCTGTATTCGTCTAATCGAATGCTCTACCTCCTTTGAGCGTACTACTTTCACATACTCGATGGTACTGTTATTTGTTTTCTATTTATAGCTTTGAAAGGGTACTATCATTGCACTGGTTTATTTGTTCCCTTTCTATTTATAGGTTTCGTTCCGGCTCACATGTGTGTCTACGGAGTTCAAGAAATGAGCTCTAGCAGCGACTCCAACAAAATTGGTAAAAATAGATGGCTAAACTTATGATTTAGTCAACCTCTACAATAGAAATCTCAGCAAAAAAAAACAGAAAACTCCAGCAGCTTTTCTAATAGGGTGAGATGAATGGCTAGCGGCACATGCAAGCTATATCTAGCATATAAGAATTTTGGGATACATAACTTGCTATTTTAGAAAGCCAGATACAATAGCTGTTGGACTCTTTTTTTCTAAAATAGTCAAATATAGATTACACAATATGGATAGCTCTTTTTGTGTAGTTGCTCTGATATAATGATCCATATAGGGCCCCCTTTTTTATCTCCCGCGTCTGGAATGATCCGGAATTTCAATGATGTATGGTTCCAAATGGTTTGCCGGTTGTGAATAGAGAGTAACTCACGTAGTCACAATAATATCATTTTTGTGTTGGAGCATGTCTATCCGTGCCGGAGTCACTGTCTCGGTATGGCAGTTCGTGTTTTTCCTTAATATATATAAAAAAAAGAAAGGAAACTTTTATTTCAAGATGTAGAGCCTCTTTGGTTGAATTTCGTAAATGCCCAACCAAAATCATGGCAGATTAAAACTTAGGCTCGTTAAAATTAAACCTTGTCAAAGTTAGGACAAAAAAATACATACATGTATTCGGTTGAGTGCCATAACATAGTGAAAGTGCATTTGCCCCCTATATGGGTTTTGGTGTATTGATGACATCCAAATTATGGACTAATATGATCTTAATGAGATATGTCGCAGCTATTAGTTTCATGAAAGATTCAAAGAGTTGATAAAGATGAAATGGTATCCCTCAATTATTGAAGTTGTAAAGGCGGACGAACTCAAAATGCTCTCCAAAGATTTTATTTTTGTTTTTGAGTTTACGATCCGCCGCACTATAAAGAGGGACACAAACTTAGTTTGTCTAAGGAAGATAGAATGCTCAAGCATAAAAATAAAATCAAAAGAGAGACACTCTAGCACTCCACGAGCACGTAGAATATTTTTTCTGTGATTGTCGGTGTCGGAAGTCCCGACGTAAGCCGGAACTCCCGACCGTCGAAAGTCACGACTCATGTCGGAAGTCCTGACTCCCAGTCACATAGCTTGCACGGTGACTGTGGATGTCGGAAGTCCCGACCCAAGCCGGGAGTCCCGACATATGTGGTGCTGCTGGCTGGCCATCTGCGCCCGTCGGAAGTCCCGGCCAATGTCGGGAGTCCCGACACCTGGGGCGTTGCTGGTTGGTTGGCGGTCTGCGCACGTCGGAAGTCCCGACGTACGTCGGGAGTCTCGACCGTCGGAAGTTCCGATGTTTGTTTGGAGTTCCGACATTAACTTGCACGTGCGGAATTCTGACCCTGTGTGAACAGTGTTTTCTGTTGATGTCGGAAGTCCCGAGATCTGCGTCGGAACTTCCGACGTAGATCTGAATGGTTAGATTTTTACTAAGAGTATAAATAGCCCTCTCTTCACTTCTAAACGTTACGGACTCATTCACAGCTGACCCAACTTTGTCCTAACAGCTCCCAAGCAACAAAGGCACCCCTCTCCTCCCTCCTTTGCTCCAATCTTTGATTCCTTTAGGGTTTTGAGTGAAAGGAGAGTGGATTAAGTGAGAGAATCACTTTGGCAAACTTGAGCACTTGATTTTTTCGTCAAGCCGGTTGGTTTTGCGTCTATTATTCTTGGGGCTTTGCCCCTCGCCGGCTAGGCGTTGTCCAAGAGCTTCCATCTTATGCAAGAGGCTTGGAAAGTTTGTATTACCCTTTGATTTCTTAGTGGAAAGTTCAAGTGACCTTTGTGGTCGCTTTGAGAGAGGCAAGGAGGTCGAATAGACTCCGACTTTTGTGGTCACCTCTACAACGAGGACATAAGAGCTCCTTTGTGGGGTTGTCGAACCTCGGGATAAATTCTTGTGTCCCGTGTGCTTGTTATTGTGATTGCTAGAGATTACTTGTATTTGTTTGTCTCTCTCTCTTGAACTTTATTTTAGGGTTTAGACTCGGTCTACGGTTTAGAGGCATTATGATGTCAAGGGAGTGACCCAACCTCTTTATCAAACCACAAGGAAGTGGGGCTGTAAGATTATTTATCCGCAAAGTTAAATTTGACACTTTTTTTGTAGTTCACGTAGACGTCGGGATTGCTGATGTTTGTGCCAGAACTTCTGACGACGTCGGGAGTTCCGACCCAAACGCCGGGACTTCCGACATTGACTGACAAATTTGAACTTGATATTTATAGTTAATTTTTAGATACACCTATTCACCACCGTCTAAGCATTGTCAGATCATTTCACATAGCAGCGAGCACTTTCCCCTCTTGTGAGATTGAATAAGTTTCTAGCGAGATTCTTGCCATAATTTTGGCCATAGAAATTGATGTGCCAATTTTTTTGTAGTAAATCGATGGGTAGCCAAAAATTTGTACGAATGCCTTAATTTTGGTTGGGTAAGTTTTAGAACCCAACTAAGTAGTAGACCTTGCACACAAATTGCTGAAGTAATAAAAGGAAAAAGATATGAATAGAGAAGAATAAGACTCGATGTTCATGATTTTGCACCTGTGTTGTAATTTTAATAGTCATGTGTGCCTACCAACCAAATCTTGTTCATGATCTTGGTTTCTTCGACTTGGTAGAAATATTTTTTTATGGAATCCTTGTGTGGAAAAAACCTATGCTCAAGATTTGAAGACATGATTTGTTGTTTTGTCAAACTAGCCTTTTCGGACACTGAAACCTGTTGTCCCAAATTAGCTGACATAATTCATATGCCTGAATCTCATTCAGAAAACCTGAAAGGATCAAGATGCCCAAGAAGGGGGGGTGAATTGGGCTAATTCTAAAATTTTTTGCAATAATTAAATCCTACGGTTAGCCCAATTAACCCCTTGTGCCTAAAAAGTGTTTCTAGTTGTTCTACCGCACAAAAGACTTCCAACCTAAATTCCAATCCTACTCTAGCATGGTAATTCTATGAATTGTAAAGATAAAAATTGAATTGCTCAATGTAAATGCTCAAAGTAATTACTCAAAGTAAATACTCAAAGTAAATGCTCAAAGTAAATATAGAAGGAGGAATGTGGCGATGTTTTACCGAGGTATCGGAGAGTCGCCACTCCCCACTAGTCCTCGTTGGAGCACCCGCGCAAGGGTGTA